TATAGGTATATATATTAAGTAATACTTCATAAGTACAGCTATAAAGTTTTTTCGTAATTAAATAAATACCGACTACGGAGTACTAGGAGGTGGGTATCGTATCATTTCAAACTTATATTAATTCTTCCGGTTTCGATTAATGTCGCTTAAAAATAAATAAACAATAATAACAACAACAACAACAACAACAACAACAACGGGGTCCCGGCGGCGCGCGCAATAATCGTTTTTCAATATACAGAGTAAAGAGTATCGCCGAGCTCGAACGAAATGTCAGACCGCAATTTTGTTTGTTTCTTATTATTTTTAGTCTCGGCCCAGCTATGTAAATTATATAATATTTAGGTGTATCGTCCAATGATTTTAATAAGTTATTATTGACAAATATTATAACTACATCACAATCAATATTCAGTATTTTATAATACATACACAATATATAGAATATAGATTATATGTAAGTGATGTAAATTAGTACCTAATGTCGTCTTCCGGATGTCTCGGAACATCGTACAATTTTTACACAAAAGTTTTCAAGTCACACGCGTGTTGTGTCTATAAATATCAAAGTATATATATTTACGCGCACCGAGTGTAACGCTTGTGGTAAGTTTTTACTTTCATCCTCGCTGACAGGGTCAGGTGTTGGAGCGGCGCCGCGCCGCGGGGATATATCCTCTGCCGCCGGCGTCGCCGCCTGCATCTCCGTCAGCCACCGTTTTATGTTGACCGCTTTTAACGGGTCATTAAAATCTGCAAAATTTAAACGTCTAATGGTTCGTGCGACGTTTTTAAATCACCCTTTAATCAAGCGACGAAACGTCCTCGAGCTTCTGAAGGCCACGTGATGGAGAATTGGCCGTGACGACTCGACGTCGTGCACAATTTGTTCGCGCCAAGTCAGCCCACCACAATTTATATAACGTTAAAAACTTTGACCGCTGAAAGGCATTCCGCCATGCTGTGGCGTGTTTTCGCTTTCGTCCGAATAGTTTCCGCGTTCGTCGTTTGTTTATTTACTATTTTCGTATTTATTATTATACTAATATTTTGAGATCTGCGGCGACGTATACTCGCCGAGAATATCTATACACGTAGGTAGCACACAATACGTTACCAATTTAATGTGTTTATTGAATTGTATACACGTACACGAACGAATCGTCGCTGCAGCAGTGCTGCGTGGCGTGACGCCAATGTACATGTGCGCACGAGCGTATATACCTGAGACCTTTATAATATATATATACGAGTGGATATATGTGTTTTATAACAATACGAGACGCGGCGATAAATCATCGTACGGGCGGCGGTTACCGATCAAGGATTTACGGAATAATATTTTAAGCGTCCGCCGCGTGGCGGGAGAAGAGAGAAAAACGGCAGCATAAAAGGCTTTCCCTACCCGCCACGCCGCCACCACCACCACACCGCCATACCCACATGTATATACATATATACCTGCCACGTCGACGACGACGACGACGACGACGACGATGAGGCCTGGGCCGCTCGCGCTGCATATATAGGCCGGAGCGCTGCCGATCCGGCGTCGGTGGTGTCTGTTTTTCTAGAGAAAATCTGGGTAGGTTTACATTTTTTTACAGCCTCCCTCCCCGCGCCGCAGCCTCATCTGCCACCGCCGACTCTTTTCTCTTCCGCTGCCGCCGCTGCCACTCGCTCTGATCACGGCGCGCGTGGGCCCTCAGCTTCCGACCCGCGTTCGGTATTGATTCGGCGCTCATAAATTACATTTGCCTAGTAAAATGAGAGAACGACACCGCCGCCACCGCCACCGCTCTGTCATTGGTCGCGTGTAGGAGGCGGGGTGAGACGGCGGTGCGAGCGCGGTGGCGACGACGACGAAGAAGGAAGCGGTGGCAGTGGCGTATATATGTAGGCCCGGCGGACGGGAACGAACCGTATTCCTCCGCCGCCGCCGCCGCCGCCGCCTGTACACAGTACAAACACACGCACGCACACACACACACACACACACACACACACGTGCATATAAATTATATACGCGCGCGGGCGAAAACGAGCGGTGGCGTATATATACGCGCGCGGTGCGTGTGCGAAGGGGACGAAAAACGCCGAAGTGCTCGATACCCCGGGGGTAGTAAGGTGCGCGGATGAACGAAAGCGGTGGCTAGGTGGATGGTGTGAGTCGTGTGGGTGGGGGTGGGGGGGTGGAGCGGTCGGAGGGATTCCCGGGGATCCTGTGCGAGTGGGGACCAAAACGGAATGAAAGTTGAATAACAATGTTCACTATTTATAGTAGTGTGTTAAAACGAATTAAATTTTTTAGCGGCGGCACATGCGCGGCGGCCTAAGCGGGGTGGTGGCGGCGGCGGCACGGGGGGCGGCCGCTTTCGCGTATAGGGCGCGCGGACGAATTTAATGATTTTTTTCTCTTTTGCTTTTATCCCCCCACGCCCGCCGTTACACTCTCTCTCTCGAGCTCGCGCCGCACTCCCACTCCGTCGTCGCTCCGTCGTCGGCGCGCTCTGCTCCCTTATCAAGGGGTTGCCGCCTACTCCCCCGCGTCCGAGCCCTTGGGTGGATGATGCGGAGGGCGGGCGCGGTGCGAATTCCGGTTACAAACGCCCGCCGCGGCGCGCGGAGTGCCGTGCCGCGGCGGAGGGGCGGGTGGGCGGACCGGGCCGGGTAGGCCGGGTGGGTGGGGGGACCCACTCTCTCTCATTAAACTGTACGAATATGCAATTTTACTTTCTCGGTTTTTACCCCCTAGTAGTTTATTGCTAGTCATGTTTTTGAGTTGTCTATAGTTCCGCCGCGCGGGCTCTCGTCAACCGCATCATCTCCGTCGCAACCGCCGCGGGCACGCACGCGATTCGCACGCACTACCATATATTACACACTACTCGCGACATCGACGATCACCATCATAATTATTATCACCGACGACAATTATTATTATTGTTACATTATTATTATTATTATTATTATTATTATTATTTTACACTTTAAAAGAAAAAACAAAGAAATTACACGCGACAATCACGGAGTTACACGCACGCGTAATTAATACAGAAATACTAATTTATATATTAATTAATTAATTAATTAATTACCGTTGATAGAAAAAAATTAATTAACTCAATTATCGTACGGATTAATTTTTTTCCCGTCCCCGTAAGTGCACCATCGAAATACAACAATATACCTAAAATAAGATATCCACACAAATCGCACACATGTCGTATAAACTCCGCATGCCTGCGGCGGCCGTGCACCGGTCACCGATGACGAGATCTCATTCGACCACCGGACAATAATATAGGTAAGTCATCTCGGTAGAACGATAACAGAATATTGCAGTAATACATCGAATATTAATTATTATATTATATTATTGAAACAATCGTTTATCTAAAAATAGAAATCAAAAATTTATCGAATAACAAAATAATAAATATTAATCAATTAATATTATTATAATAATAATATGATGATCGAAGTAATATAGCATAAACAATATTGTAGTCGTAGTCGTCGTAAACGTCGTTGCCGTCGTAGTCGTAGTAATTGTAGCGTAGTATGCGTAGTATAGTAGACACGCGTGTGTGTTACAATATCGCCAGGAAGACATGTTATTATTATATACGACGAGTGGCGGCAAAAGACGCGTGTTTATCAGCGCACTTATCGCTTACCGACGCGAATTTCGTCGCCGTCTTCGCAGTCGCGGCCGTGTAATGGTCGTCGGACGTGGCGTGTAACGGGCGAGAGCGCGGCGCGCGGCGTCGGCGGTGGCACGCGTGTACACGCCGCGTGTGTGTGGCCGAACACCGGCCGCCGGTTGTATGAATGGGCGCCCCTGTCCTGTGCCGCCGCCACCGCCGCCCCACCCGTATGCGCAACGTGTACACACTCACACGCGTTCGTTCGCGCGCCCGCCCGCTCGACCACTCTCGCGGACCACACGGTGTCGCCGCCTGCCCACCTGTTCGCGGTGCGGCACGGTATATTATACGGTCGGCGACGGACGAAACGCGCGCGAAAAGAGGGTGAACCCCCTCCAACCCCCACCCCCCCCTAAGGACGGCCTCGTGACCGCCAACGCTCCTCCACGCGCGTGAGACGATGACGGCCGTCTCGGAGATGACCCCCCCCCCACATACGCCCCTCGATCCGTCCCCGCGCCCGACGCGCCGTTCTGACGGCACGCGTGTTCCGCGTATTTCTTTTGAGAAACGCGCGCGTGTATTTTACTAGACTTCGCTGTCGACGGGCTTGTTGTTGTTGTTGTTGTTGTTGTTGTTGTCAAGGTTGTTGTTGCTGTTATCACCGCATTTCGCTCTCGTCGCGAGTGTGTCCTCGCGGGGCGGCCGTCCCGACCGGCGAGTAGGAAAATACGCGGGAAAATATTTACGTCGTGGCAGTACGGCGTTGTAGTTCTCTTGGCGCACACCGAAAAGTATTACCGAAAGCACAATAATCTCATACTATGTTTTAACACTCGGATCACGTTTAGCAACCGACGCCGAATTTTCGACGGATATCATGTCGAATTTTATATCGTCGTCACCGGTACATTATATAGTAGTTTACGTAAATACATATATATATATATATATATATTATATATAATAAAATAGGTAATATAAATTGATATTATGTGCGGCGACGTTTAATTATTAAAAAAAACGATTATTATACGTTGGGTAGGTTTTTGTTTTTCAGTTTTCCTTTTTTCCAGTCTTCGATTAATAATCGTTATTAATCGACACGCCTATGTGCATAATATAATATGCGGTGGACGGGTCAGATACGTTGTATTTGAAAAACGCGTATAATAATATATCATATTATGCATATTATATTACATGATTTGTATTTTATTAATACGTTTTCGCATAACCGCGCAGTTACGATGAAAAAATGTCCAGCGCTTGATTTAGTGTGAGCCGTGTAATTTTATATCTGTCTAACGTCGTTTCATTTTTTTGCGTTTGTTTTGAACATGAAAATAGGCGGGACAGTGTCGACCGAAGCCCACCGCGTGATGGGCGACCTGCAGCATTTCTGTCTGCGCTGGAACAACTACCAGAACAGCATCACCACAGCGTTCGAGAATCTGAGGGACGACGAGGACTTCATCGACGTGACGCTGGCATGCGACGGCAAGAGTCTGAAAGCCCACCGGGTTGTTCTGTCCGCGTGCAGCCCATATTTTCGGGAACTGTTGAAAGTGAGTATATAATGTCTACGCTTGCCGGGATCACCGATTGATATTTTCATAGGGTCTCTTTAGGAAATCGGGAAGTTTTCGGGGGCCATCAAAATGTGATGTTTAAGCTTAATGTACACGCATAATTATGTTAATTCAAAGAATGTAAAGGCGAAATCAATTTAAAATCAATGAAAACCTCATTCAATTCACATTCAAAACAAATAATTTAAATGATAAATTTCTAGTCTACGGGCTAGATAAAGTTCGTTCATCATTTTTCGCCTATAGCTGACCAATATACTAAACCGTCGGACCTATATCGGTCTGACCACGCGGTAAAACGATGATTTACGTTCGTCTCTCTTTTTTTTTTTTCGCAGAGTACGCCGTGCAAACACCCCGTGATCGTGTTGCAAGACGTCGTTTTCGATGACTTGCAAGCGCTGGTTGAGTTCATCTACCACGGCGAGGTAAACGTCCACCAGAGGAACCTGAGCTCGTTCCTGAAGACTGCCGAAGTTCTCAGGGTCAGCGGTCTCACGCAACCGTCCGATTCCACTACCGCCAACGACGTGAGTACCTAAACACAACTGTATATTATATTATAAATTTAGCATACTATGATATCATGACGTTTGAGAATAGCGTATAATCGATACTACCCATTTACGCGAATCGCAATTTCATATACATTCGAATTTTCGGAGACGTTTTTAGCATTTTTCCGTTCCAGAGCAAATTCGTTTTGTATCTGTGACACGATTACGACAAACGTTTTAAAACTGTCACAACAATTATGACACGGGGCTGCGTCGTTTTCCGAGCATAAAATAATTTTTTTTTTCGACGTTTGGAAATCCTTTTTTTCAAGATCGTAGCAAATTTTTCTGTAATATGTTTACATAAATAATTATAATTCCAATATAACGATGATGAATGTTCATTTGTATACCTTGTTCATATTTAATATTATATGTTATTATAATAATATACGTTCACTTGTCTGCTTTTTTTCAGCATTCCGCGAGGCAGTCTTCCGAGACACCACCCGCGGAAAACTCGTTCCTCCAGTCGTTCGCTGCACAAGCATCCGAAGACAGAGTGTCTCCACAGGTCAGACAGAGGAAAGGTTTTCCTCAACAATCGCCGTCGTCCATACCTTCACCTCGGTCAAAGGTAAGTCCATTCCCGTTTCCACGTTTATTGTTGATATTATAGATGGATAGAATAGTTTTTCCGATTATATTAATAATTTTCTTTGGACCTCGATGTATGCATAGGCAACAATATATGATGTATATAGCTTTAAAGGTGTAAATTACATTATTACATGGGGATCGTACTCTATACGCTCTCTTGCCTAAACTTACTTGAATATTTTTTGAAATACTATATTCATGTAATATATAAGTGAATGATTTGAATACTGAAAAAATATTCATATAATAATTATTGGCTATATTCTCAGATTTTTAAGAAGTACGAAAAAAACAGATTAATTTTTTTTTATATCGAGAACAAAAAATGACTATAAATTCTCGTAGATATTTAATAACTGTAATTTGTGGAACTCTATACATAGGACACCGATAATTTTCTGCTGCCAAATTTTTATTATAGGTATTTAATTCGCATTAAAGTCACACACTCAGAATATGTTATTGGTGATGACTGATGACTAATTGATATGAGACTTCGCAACGATGAATGCTTGTTTATGCGTGTTTATACTGTATACACAACAGTGATTCTATCTACAAATAACATAATATATTCGTAAATGTATATATATATTATATATATTATATGTAACACATAATATGTGCGTCTTGACGAATATTTCATTATTTCTATGTTACTCTATAATATAATTAAATCAATATTCAATAATGAATCATTATATGGTCTCCTGCTCGGTTCAACGTGGTTTTTCATTCATAGTATAATAATATTGTTGTGGTTGTGTGGCGTCATATATTGTTATTGTTCTTGTCGGTGCTAACCAAGAAAATTATAATAGGACGCGCAGAAAAACAGACATTATCGTCGTAATACGCCGCATCTCGTGTATTGCATATTTGTTAAATCTCTACAAACTATTGTGTACGATATTCTCATTGATGAAATGCATTTCCCGCGTACCTAACTGGGCGCGTGTATACTCATATATATTTAAAAACAAACAATAAAACATGTTTTTCTTTTCGTTTAGGGTTTTTTCTTACCCGCACGTTTGTTTTGAATAAATAATGCGTCGGCCGTGACCCTGGCGTATGTAGGTGGTAGGATCTACAATACGTATAACTTAAACTCAATAATATATGCACAATGCACATTCACATACATGCATACACGACATAACAGAAACTTCCACACCGCTGCAGCGGCTAAAGTCAACAGTTGTTTATTTAATAAAACATTTTCTCTGCCGGTTTTAAAACTATATTCCTTTGATGATGACATTTTTTTTCTGCTAACCGATAGCAACAAAAATGCATATTATTTCGAGGGGCAGGATAGGTATACGAAATATTATGCATACGCGTTTCTTGTTTAAATGCAACTCGATCAGCGGCGTAGACAGAAATTTTGAGTATGGGGTTGGGGGACATATATTCATTATTTCTAAGATAAATGGCAGACTAGTGTCCCACATTAATATTTTATGTATAAAAAAGGGTCACAAGAGGTATCCATCCCCCATAATCCCCCATAGACACGATAAATGCGTTATTTACCTGTCCCAAGGATATTTCTACTCCGTAGTAAGTACATCACGGTGAAGCCGTACACTAAAATGAGTTTCCGATACGATTTAATTCAACATAATATGAGAATATGCATGATATAATATAGACTATACGACAGTTATTAATAATGATAATTATAATAATACACAATATTACTACACAAGACAAACTCTAACGTCAAACGCTCTTAGCCCATATATAGACATATTAATACCTATCAACATGGTCTGCGCGTCTCCTATAGAACTATACTTTGTCTACATAGGTTGCCTAGTGCCAACTTAATTAGAAAGAGATGGCTTATATCTGCCAATACGATAGAACAAAAAGCGTAATGTATTTGCCACCTTATTCCAAAAAAAATTGTTAAACTTTTCTCTCTCTGTTTTAATGGACATAAATGGATTAACTTGTATGCTATCTTGATCTTCCAATGTTGCCTGATCGCTCTCTCTCTCTCTCTCTCTCTCTCTCTCTCCCTCTGATTTTAGTTTATTTCTTTATAGGTCTATAAGTTAGTCCATCCATCCCGAACACTCCAGCAGCAGCATTGATATATACCTAGGTGCCATAGCTATCGTTGTGATTACAGTGAAACTTTTATTTTACAGAGCCATATAATGATTAGTGAGTAGCAAAAAAAAAATCGTTAAATAGAATTACATAAATTTGGTTCTCACACATATTTCGTTGTGTGAAAGTTGCACTGAATATTGTTTTTGTGTTTATACGAATAGGTAATATACAATATAAAATACGGCTTTCGGATACGGTAGTGAATAAGGGGTGACCTTTTATTATTTACGCCTTTAAATTATATATATATATACATACATACAGCAGTTACATTAACGCGTATAAGAAAGAGTGATTTCGGTTTATGGTTTCAAAGGGTCGTCGTCGGAATACGACTACTCTTTCGATTTGTTACGACGAGGGCTGCGTGTGACAAAAGATCTGCAGTGGGGAAAGAGTTTGAGAAGTCTTTAATACGTACATTATCGAATGCCCAGTACCGGAAGCGTCGGCGATATTCGTATTCGGATTTAAATGTTATACTTCAATATCGCGTATTTACGATGCGCAAAAGTCAACCCCGCGCGATCTGCTGGAGTGACGGGGCGTTTTAAATGCGTGTAAATAATACGCGCGAAGGGTGATATTATTACAATAAATATTCGTGTCACACGATCTTCATAATGCTTTTAGTCGACTTTCGACCGGCAAAAGCGAAAACGCGCAGCGACGTGATTTTATTTGTTAGCGTTCGCCCGTTTGTGTACGACGACGACGACAACGGCATAACCGTTGAAAGACAAATATTAAATCGCGAAAAAAAAATCGAGCAATAAAAATAAACATCGCGAGTACGGGTCGTTGTAACGGTCGTGACGGCGTTCCGCAAAAAAAAAAAAAGTAAAAAGATCATAAATATATAATAATATATATATACACACACACACACGTGTTGATGTATGAAAAGAGACGATCTTCGCGTAAACCGAACGAAACGGTTAACAAAAGCGGCGGTGCGCGCCGGAGGAGAATATGGAAAAAAAATGAACGTGTAAAAAGGAAAAAAAAAATCCGAGAGAGAATATTTTCTGGCCGGCGAAACGTTCAAAAGTCTGTAGCGTTCGTGTAAACAGTTTACAGTGCCCGCCGTTTTCTTTTGTTATTTTACGACTCTTTAGAGAAATCTTAGTAAACAAAAACAAACTTCTCATAATAATTATTATTTTCCTCCGTCGTCATTCGTATTATAGGTGGTACCTACCAATGACCGGATAAAACGGAAACGAAACAAGACATAAGCTGTTAACGGAATTTCGCGTTTATTGCGTTGTAGTCGTCGCGTCTATTTATTTAATTTATTTTACGCCCCCGAAAACGTGAATGATCGATTCGGCAGCCGGCAATAAAATATTTGTTAGACAATGTCCCAAAGTTCGCTATACATGTACAAGCATTATTTCCATTGTGCCGGTTAATACGCAAAACTGGACGACTTTCGATTTTCGTTTATGGCCGAATTTAAATTTGTCATTTTAATGTATATTATTACCGTTTACAAAATATACGTATTTACACGTCGTGGCCTGTTTCATTTCGTGTTCCAATATTGACGGGGCTATGCAAAGTTGTAGCGAACGTTGCGCTCGAGGTGTTGTTTCGGCATTGCAGGCAAAGTAAATTACCGGAGTTTCCCGGACGCGGAAATGGCGCCAGAGTAAATAAAAACAAACGCGTATTATATCTAAATATCTTTTTGACTTTATTGCGCATCAGCTGTGCGCATTATCCACGCTCAAAAGTTAAACACAAATTATAGTTTATAATCCGTATACACATAAACGTGCGTACAAAACAAAACACCGCGCTCGGCGTCAATGGCGGATACGAGGGGAGGCGGGTGTTGAAAGAGCGATCTATTGGGCCGTGTTTTTCTGTTTAATATAATAATTTTAATATTTTATAATTGTTTATTCATATTTACTGTACAATTTATTTATAGTTATTGCGGTTACAATATATTATAACATAACGCATAAGCCTTTACATGTTTTCCGGTAATGGGATGCCACGTGATACGCATACATAAATATATAAATCCCTCATAAATATATTATATATATATATATATATAAATACGTGCTTCCGATGATAACATCCAATGTTTGCGACGATTACTTTAAAGATCGCAGGAGTATACCTATAAAGAATTATCTACTGTTAAAAACATTCGCGTATGACATAAAATTGGCAGCGGCGGGGCCAAATGAATTATATAACGTACCTGTGCGGGCACGCTCTAAAAATGTTGAAAGTCAAGAACATTAAATTACAATGGTGACTTCGAAATCCACGGGAAGAGGGGACCTGCACCCCTCGCATACGGTTACTATAGATGTGAAAGGTTCACTCTATAAGTATAGATTAATAAACTATGAAGCAGTAATAATGTGTGTGATTCTGGAAATCCGTTATTTATTCTCGGCAAAAACTAACATTGTAAAAAAAGTAGTAACAATAAAAAATTTCAAAACCCTCGTAACCCGTTTATTATTACAAGTTTCCAACCGTTTAGAACGCTCATCAAGTGTAATCATAGTATAGTTTACAGACAAAAATTGAGTGTGGTGGACATAATACTTATAATATTAAAGTGATGCGTGGATAATACTATGATATGAAGAAAATTACCCTCAACTGTGTGCATGTATAAATAAGGAATGGGAGGTATTACAGCGGTGCAGATCTCTTATTATATATCATTATTAATGATGGTATTTGTAGTTTGGGAAACTCGTTCGATATTTCTATACATAACATAATATAACATATTAAATTGCTTAATGCAGAGTTAAAGAGTACGGTGGTATTTTCTCTTCTTTGTGTTGTCATAAATAACCATCCTATAAATATCGACAACCCTTAGCGGGACTATTCAATATTACTTTAGGTAAAGTATACGTTGGCAGACAGTGTCCGCAAACTTAAAATGTTGAACTTACCCGATGAACGGTTCTTATGATGCAACCCTTCTCCTTCCACAATTGTACTTTCACCCTCTTATTACGATTTACGACTACCCTGTTCCCTTTGCAGTTCCATCCCCCACCATCAACTACACCCGTAACCATCCAATTCACAGTACGATGCGTCTTGCCAATAAATAACACCCCTCTATAGCTTTACGGAAATACTTTTGTTCTTCTCATCAAACTCTTTGATACTATTGTTGTTTTGTGTGTTGAGTACATTGTTTTAATTATTGGGCTTCGGCCCGGTTTGGGTAGTAATAAATAATAATAATAAAATATAAACAGGTAACATAATATCGCATTTTTCTTGTCCCAGGAAAACTCTCCAATACCGTTAAAACGCAACAACAAGACTTCGTCGAACCCGGCCTCGGGCGGCGGTGGCGGCGGCGCCATGCCAACCGGCGGCGGAGGCATGGACCTGTCCGAGAGGACGTCTCAACACAGTCCCAGCTCGGCGGGCAGCCGGCCCAACTGCATCGACGACGACGACGCGGGCGAACGTTCGGACGGTGGCATCGGCGGAGTGGCCGGGAGTAACGGCCACAGCAACGGACATCAACCGCACCACCTCCAGCACCAGCAGCAGCAACAGCTCCACGACGAACCACCGATGGACTATTCGCGGACGCACCAACACCACCAACAGCAGCAACAGACACAGCCCCCAGCCAACGCCCTGCAACAACTGCAAGACACGGCGCAGAACCTGATGATGTCTCGCCGGTCACCCGCCGAGGTCAAGACCGAGCCGATGGACACCGCGTCCGCGGCTGCCGTCAACAGCGGCAGCGCGTATGCGGACGATAGCAACGACTCGGCGGCTGACTTTACGGGCGTCCATCCGGCCATCGGCATGTCCGAACCCGACGACACGTCCTACCAGAGCCACCACTCGTACCTGGATAGCAAGTTCTTCGCGGCCGCTGGCGCCTCGTTCAACTTCAGCATGGCCGCCGCCATGGCCGCGGACTCGTTAGCGGGCAAGTACAACACACGATTGTTAATAGATTTATATTATAGATACTGGCGCGCCATTTTGGTTTTTTTCTGTCGTGGGCGCCCAAAATGTTGGGCTCGTCGTTAAATAAGTATCCGGCAATGATGAGGTTTAAACGACTTTGTATAGGAATGCGATTTGTAGATTTTCTTCCTCTTCGACGCTTTTTTTATGACATAATATCAATTTCTGTGATTTCTTTTTGACATCATCATTTAGCGATTAGGACTTTTATAGTTCATACATATGAGTGTCCCGTATATGTTGTTCAAACGACAACATTGTGACATGTAAATAAATCTGTTTTTAAATGCGATTTGTTCTTTATAATATACAATTTAATACCGTTTTTAATTTTCTCTTAGCCGGTCACCGACACCAACCATATTATGTATTGAGTTTAGTATAAAATATCAGTGATAGTCGGACCATGGCAAAAATGTATATTTGAAAAGTAAAAGAGCTCATCCTGCCCCCTCCCCAAATTACCGAAGAGCCCGAATACCGTTTGTATTTATTAATATTAATAGTGCATTGGTGCATAAGTGCATTGAAATTATTTCCATCTCCCCCTCTCTTCTCTATCTATATTGATGTTTCGCTGCCAATTTTTGCACAAAATTTCGTGACGTCAGACGCCTGTGTACTATTTTTATACCTCGCCGGACACACGATCCGGCTCCCAGACCGGTTTCCTGAAATTCCGTAGGTGAAAATTTGCCAGTCTACAACGTGTCTAATACATATTATAATTTATTAATATATATATATATATAGGTGCACTAGTAGGAGGTGGTAATCGCCGCCGCCAAACATAAAATTTATCCTATACTCAACTCTTCTAGCGTGTGCGTATTATAGACGAGTTACACGTATATTTCCATACGTTCGTGTGGGCCACGACGTGGTCAACCTTATGTACTATGCAGACGTCTGCAGTATATATATATATATATATATTTATAATTTACCATAGGTAGGTTAAGTGTCTATAACCTACGATTGGGCCATAAATACTTTTTTATTTTTCAAAAACCGGATTCGTATTTTGCTTCGTCGGTCTACGCGCACTCGGATCGTGGGTACGAGCATACCTACTACACCAATACTATACCTATACCCGCGAGCGCACCTATTTATAACGTATGTACATACGTCACTTGCAAATAATATCATATAATACTAATATGTCGTTGCTGCGACCGACTCTCGTGTATCATGCCAAACGCACAATATCTCCTATTTTATCGTTCATTAAGACGCAGCCGGATAAGTCGCCAACAGTGGTTATAATATTATATGGGTACACGCGTTCTACGAGGACATATAATAAATAAATATATATATATATATATATATATATCACTGAAACGCGAACATCGACATTGTGTTGGTACAATAGGTAATCGTTATTGTAATAATATTAATTATTATTTTTCGTACATCACGCTGTATGGCCGACTATCGCAGTCATTCGATTTTTCACAATCAATCGACGATCGATGTATTTTTGCACGATGCATTCATATTATATAACATTCTTGTCGTACGTCATCAGCTCTTTTCGTCCCGAAAATCTTGCGTTGCCCACCAAAATGTCAATCTCGTCGCACCCGTATCGTATAGTTTTAGGCGGGTGGTCGACGGCCCATTATTCAAGATTTCGAGGGAAGAAATTCGAGCGTATACCTATCGATATCCCGGAGTGTTTATGAAGTTATATGACGTGTGACATACAAGCGAAACTTATCGACCCGTATCGGACTTGTAGTTGTTACCCACCCATCGATCTATCCACCGTATCGAATTTTTATTCTTGAAAATCTTTAATATTTCCCTAAATTACGACATATTCGATGGTCGACCACAATAGTTGAGCAATAATTATTGGAGGTCCATGACGATGTCATACTTCATATACTTACATAATATTATAACCTCCGATCCCCGGGTTTGCTGTGCTTATTCGATTTCCTCGTTAAATCGATACAGACAAGTGCTATTATGATATTATAATATATAAGTACCTATTCCCCACTCGAAATCAAAATCAAAGAGAAGGCTCTTTGGACCTGAGACGAGCGTGTAGCAAGTTGATGACTGTTGTATAACATAGGCCAAATAAGAGTACGTAGTAGGTAGGTAGCTAAAATAAAAAAAAAACCTATTATGTTTAAATTAATCACTTGTTGTCCTTAAACATTGCCATGCTATTTTTGTTTTACATTTTTCAGACGTGATATTAATGTACCGGTTTTGTTTCTGTTTATCACAGGTCTCAACAATCACAACCATACCAACGTGATGGAGGCTCTAGGAGGCTCCAGCTCTCAAGGTAAGAATAACAATATACATTTACCTAAATAAATACATAATTTACTAGCGATTCGTTACAACTGTACTTACTGTAATGGCTCGTTTAATAATAATATTATACACGTCCGTTGGACGTTTCGCGATCGACTGTATCTCGCGCTTAAGAATACTTACGCATGTACACGCGTAGATAGGTAGGCTTCGACAATCGAGTTATGATGAGTTTGTGTCGAGTGCATATTTTTATTTTCAGTATAACGCTTGCCTGCTTCTCGTCACCCTCTCGTCCCCGTCAAATTGTGTGCGTTCAATGTATATACGCATTACGCGAAGGAGACACACTACTCTGCAATAACACAATTTATATATATATATATATTATTTTAAAATAGTCCGTCGGATTCTCGTTAATTACCTCTCAAGTTTGCGATACAGACAAAACCGTATATATATCTAGTATGTGCGAAACTAATAATGATACAATATAATATAAATGCTACTGATAAAGACAGCGGCGTTTTTGCGAGTGAAACGGCCGTAACGCATTGTCGAACTGTTGTTCAAACAAAGTAATAATAAGAACGATGCATCGATTTTAAGTGACTTCAATTATTATTATTATTATTATTATTATTATTATTATTATTATTATAAGCGCTCACATAACGGCGAAGATGTTTTACAACGTGACATTGTATACAATATTCTGTACTCTATTGTCGCACACATATACTCTCTTCTATATTATATAAGTTAAAGCCGTTTTAGATCCCGTCGACTTTTGTAACTTTTCTGCGACAAACTCAGCGGGTACTACCTATTTGTTTTTTTATCGGCGGATTTTAGATAGTACATTATGCGATTCTCTCGTGAAAACTCACCGTCTACATCGTATCCCGATCGTGTGTCTAACAATAAAATATAATATATACCTACGTAATACTCGTAGGTGTTATACCTAAAATATATCTTGGATTGAATTTATGTATAAAAGTTATGCCGTGACGGAATGCATTTTTTGCTGACGTCCCCTCGAAACAAATCGTCCAAGAAATATCAATTAAACTTACAAATGTACATAATGCTTTGGACACTGAGACGCCAAGGGCCAATAGACATTTATCAACTCTAAGTGACGCGGTACTGCTGCTGCACTTTCTACCTATATAGGCTATGATAGTATATGGAACGGCCAGACATATTTATACGTCGAGCAGACTTAGGGAAACGGACTCGTAACAGATTTTTGACGTATGTTTTGATATAAATCAGGATTATTTCGACTTAATTCATAAATTCGTTAGAATGTTTCTCAACTCCCCATTCCACTTCTACAGCAGTTTTATGACGAATCGATGTACCTATTTCATAAAGTCAACTCGAGAAAAACTTTAAACTTGGAGAGAAATTTTCCCGTGCCCCGCATGCGAACATCATTGAGACAAAATAATTATTGCATCGAATAAGTTTGACAATCATATATATTTTAATCCGCATATACTATATAGTTTTATACAAACATAATCATCGATCATTTTATGTATCACTTTGAATTATATAATTGCGAAATGAATTCGTTTTTAACCACCGAACAGTTGTCCTTCTTCTGAAACTTGCAACGTGTGGTTATATACGGGTGCGTTTTGCTCGTTAAAATGTTTTAATTATAGTTTCTAAAATTTCTTTTTATACATAACTGTTGACGATGACGGCGGCGACATTATTCAAGTATAGTTGTTGTAGGTATTCAAAATAGTAATCGTGCGGTGAAATAAAATTTAATTTTTAAAACGTCGTCGTGTGTTGTGCTATGTGAAAATTGGAAACCTGTTTGCGAGTCTAAGTATGATATTAGTTTTTACACTTTGGCCGAAATTAAAAAAAGAAAAAAAGTGGAAAGGTGAGCCCGGCTCAACGTACTTATATTTATATGACTATACATGTATAATATACATACTTGTTGGCCAAACTATATAGTGGCAATTCCGGTATTATATTTTTGTCTATTTCGAACTGCTGTTGGCGGCGCACACGTGCGTATTAAAAAAAGATCGTTGACCTATACGGCGCGACTATTAAAAAATCGTCTGAAATTCTCAAAAAAAAATAAAAAATATTACCTAAATCCCGCCACGCGTCTACACAACTTACTTGCCGTTGTGTGATTAACGCTCGGCGAATCTTCTCGCGTACAGTAAATTATTCACATTTAATGCGCTCGGTTAATTTCTCGCATATGCTGCTGCGATGATATTTCAGATAAAGTGTCGACAACAACGAGTCCTATATTATAATAATAATAATATTAGGTACACTGTGTGCGTATTCACCTGATTCCCGCGTGCAAACAAATCAGTTAGGTCGTATACATTTTAATATTGTTTTGTTCAAGAAAAAGACGTGCGTGCGCGATGTAACTGCAGTTATGACGATTTCGGCCGTGTACTTTTTTGTACATTGTATTATTGCCGAACCTATTTTTTTTTTTTTTGTACGACATTGTTACCTATATATAATAATATACTGTTATGGATCGATACATATAGAAAACGCCAGTGATAATAATCGGTCGAGTGTCTTAATTTAATGTTGTGTGGTGTGTCCGATATAATAGAGGTCTCCACTGATCCGTCGTCGTACTTTTATAGTATATAATATATATTTATTTATACCAGCAGCTGATGTAATAATAACTATTATTATAATATTATGTTTACTACTGTGATCTGTTAAAAAAACGTATACTTATATTTGTTGTTGTTTTTTTTTATACAAAGTATATTTATGTATACGTTAAAAAAGAAAACTACCCTCCTCTCCCTTCTTTCCGCTTATAACACTACCTCTATCCCCATTTTTCGGAACGATAAAACGAAGCGAATAACGAAAGAAAATTTTATGTACACTTCATACGACAATGACGAAATACTTGGTTTTTTTTTAAAACTTCTTTCTATATATACCTACCTTTAAATATTAAATATTATATATAATCCATAATATTATAATACCTACCAATCATTTTATCACTATCATTATTTACCTCTTATATATTATTTATAAAACATAAATGCATGTATTTATGGAACACGTATACATAAATATATATATCTATAAATACACGCGATACATAATAAATATAAATGGGTTCTCTTAGCAAAGAAAATTCACTATTTCAAAAGCTATCAACATTTTTTAGTATAATATTTCACATAATTGTAGGTAGTTACAAAATATGATTTTTGAAAGAAAAATGATGTGTTTCACCGTGTTCTTATCCTTTTTTTTAACGAAGACATACATTTTTAATTTCTTTTTCTAAAACAGGATATTTTTTTGTAGTAGGTACTTTGAAACATAAAAATTGATTTTTTGACGAGCATTTTGTGATTTTATGATAAGTATTTAAAGTTTAGATGAGCGAAGTGGAGTGGCATAGGGACCTCCCGCAACATGTCACTCCACCTCCCCACTTATCTAAACTTTAAATTTATAGATTCTTAATTATTCGTCCAAAGTTTAATTTTTATTCGTATAATATTAAATACTATACATATGTATCTGTATATTATATCAAAACTCTCCAAATAATATTTTGCTTAGGAATATGAAATTAAAAATGTAGAAGTTGTTGTCGAAAAAGGTACAAAACTTATTATTTTCAATTTCATTGACCAAAAATTACAAAAATATAATTTTTTCCAAAAATGTTTTGTGAACGACCCGAATTATGAAAAAAAAAAAAAAACTTTCATAAACGTTAATAGTTTTTGAAATAATGAGCTTTGCCCGATAAATGAATCGCCCGGTATGCAGTACCTACCTATATATGATACATAGTAAATAGTAATACATAATATAATATAATATATAAATGGAGAAAAAAAAATACAAAAGGAGTGACCGGCTGTTATTATTGTGCTGCAGACTGGTCAGAGGCTGGTGGCGGAGGAGTTGGCGGCGGGGGCGCGGAGACGCTGTCCTGTTTCGTATGCGGCAAGCGCCTGAGCACCAGGTTGACGTTGAAGCGGCACATCGAACAACAGCACAACCAGCCTCTGCACTCGGCCGTCTGCAACGTGTGCAACAAAGTGTTCCGCACGCTCAACAGTCTCAACAACCACAAGAGCATTTACCACCGGAAACCCAAAGCGTACAAGTCGGCGGGCGGGGGCGGTAATGCGGGGGCGGGGGCGGCGTCGGTGGCGGCGGCGGTAGCGGCTTTGACGGCGGCCACGACCGCCCCGACGACGACTACTACTTCCGCGGCGGCGGTCACGTCGTCGTCCGCGTCGCCGGACGGTAACGGCGGCGTGTCCGGATGTGCCAACGCCGCCGCCGCCGATGCCGCCGCCGCCGCCTCGTCCGTGAAAAACTTACCGCCACTGACCATGTGGTACAACAACAACATAAACAACAACAACAACAACAACAGTAACTGACACAAGCTGCAGCGGAGCGCCTGAACGGGCTCCGACGTCGTCTTCGTCGTCCGAACGACGCGTCGGCCGAAGAAGAGGAGGATGACGACGACGACGACGACGATGAAGGCCGGACAGAGGGACGACGACGGGACAGAGTGACGACGACGACGACGACGACGACAGTATTACGAATGATGTAGACGAGAACGAACGATAATAATTAATAACGATACCTTTACGACGCCCCGCGTAGCCGACGACTGTAAAGTGCAATAAGAATAATTTATGTGTTATTATATAACGATATATTATTATAACAGTAGAAATTGTTTCGATTATATTATGATTGTAAGTTTTGTAGGTTTCGTGTTTGAAATGTATTTATTTTTTCGTTTTCCGACGCGACTGTGAATACATTTTATTATATGAAATACCATCGACGAATTATATCGGAATCATTATTTGTCATTATTTTTTTTCTCATGTTTGTTTAGGTATTATTATTATTATTATTATTATTATTATTATTATTTATATATAATTATTATTATTTGATTAAACGAACGGTGGTTCGCTTTAGGATTAGTGCTGTACTGTTGTATACATATAGGTATATAATATTGTATAATATTGTGTAGGTACATTGAGTATATATTTTTTTCCTTTTCGACGTTTAGACTGTGTTCGTACAAGGTTTAGTGAAACGAAAAAATTAATAATAATAATACAACCGTATTATAATTAAATATGTATAAATAAAATATAGTATACTGTACGCACACACATTATTATATTATATTACCATGTATTTTAGAATGTATAATATAATATATTATAATACGAAATAAGTACGAATGTATCATTTACTGTAAATTAAAAAATGATAACAATAAAAAGAAAAAGAAAAGTCAAGTTAATATCGGCATTGCAATGACATTTAACATAATAATTAGGTAATAATATTGTTACCTATCTTCGCTTTTGGTGGCAAATAAATCGGTCGGTATATCGTTGCGGTTTATACATATTATTTTTATTCAATATTTGGATAATGCTGTTTTTGTGAGCCTTTGACCGTTGGCTTGGCCGCTACTGAATAATAATTCGAGATTTTTATAACATAACGTGTTTAGGCAGGTAAATCTTCTTCTGATAGATCATATATTATGCTTTTTGTGCTGCCATTTATGACGATAATATTATGCAGGCAGTATGACTACGATTTTTCGTTCCATCAAATACGTAAATGATGTAGGTCGAATTTCATCGAGTCGAGTCTATCGGACTCTGTATATACGAGGTTTATCTATAAAATTATGCGGTTATGACATAATAGCGCCCTCCATATAGGGTCATGTCCCTAATCCACCCGAGTCACAGGATCATGTTGAAAAGAAACGAGCTAAATATCGACTACCCATAGGTACCTAGATCTATTTGGGAGCCGATTAGTGGTTGCGACACAACGATATAATATTGTTCTACTTAAATATCCCAGTTTAATGACGTGGTAGATGTTTTATGAATAAAACGAAAAATAAAAAATCCAACGAAAGTCCGAGGTTGTTATTATTATTTTTCCGTTCACGGTTGTCGTCTCGTACGTGGACATTATTAAAAGCTTGCGTGCTCATATATGACATATATATATGACATGTATAATATATATTTAATAGTATAATATTGTGTTTATAGGTTTGGTAAAAGAAAAAAAAATACCCTATTAAATTTGGATTACACTGCGATACGACGTTTGTTTATATACGGTTTGTATAGGGCGCCTAACTAAAAATAAACACAGGTATCTACATTACGGGAAGTAGAGTCGGCAATGGCTTTGTTGTCAGCCGACAACGCTTCCCCCGCCGCCACCCACACTCGACCACCCCTCACCCCTCAACGCCGTCGAACGAGGGTAAACAACGCTGTTCGCTGTTTTCTTTTTAACATTATACATAAGCGCGTCGACTGTGTATCGGCAAATGCGCGGCACAAACATACCTTTAACGCAAACGTAAACATATCATATATGAGGCGCGTGTATAATGTAATTTCATTTTCCCAGGGGGGGGGGGGCGGTTAGCTTTGCCCTCAAAAGTCGATTCTCGAGTGTACAATTAATAAAAAAAAAAAACCGCGTAATCCGCGTTTGATATATTCTGTTTCGAATGAATTTCTCCGTCTCCGTGCGGGCAAGTGTACGTAAAACGATGTATACATATGCAGCTACGTCGGGCTACATATACTGCAGAGTGTGGTGCAGGTACAAGCTATATTATATTCTGCAGCACAGTGCATACGTCTGAGGTCGGTTTGTTCTGCACTCGTAAACATTGCGTTAATTAATTGGAAAGCCATATTTAAGTCACCCTAGTTCGAGACGCATTTTGAATGTTTTGTCGCATTTTTTGTAGTTTGATATAGGTGTGTTTGTGTTATGAATAAAAGCGTCCTCTATATCACGATACATTATATTTAAAAAAAAAATCTGCACTCGAACAATATTTGCATTTCACCGTCGACTAGGGTTACCGACTTTCCAATTTATTAACATAATACAATAAATAAATAAATATATGTACGATTAATCACGACAAATAATTTCCTGTTGGGTGTTCACTGATTCCTAACAGTCTTGCTGCTATTCGAAATGATGATTTATACGAACGCGGTGTAACTTTTCATCGTAGCTCATCTATAACATTGATACTGAATTTTCCACAGAACTGATGTGCAGGTACTTGTTTAAACCATTAATATATTGTTCTAATATCTTAATGTTTAGTCCCTAAAAAACCTTCAGACTAGCCATGTATCTTATTATCTCATTCGCTATCTCTAGGGCGATCGTCTACTTACTTTGTCCTCGACCAGTAAAGTGATGTGAGAACCTTGATCGATTTTAAAAATCTGATATCGTAAATGGTATTATATCATTAAATTCGCAACGACATCCGTTCGGCCAAACCGACCAACTAAAAAATAGAAATACTAGATTTTTCTACGTATTTTGTACTCATATATTTTGTATTTGTATAATGTGTAATATTGTATATATTTGAACATCATTACTGAAATGGCAGCGATAATAATTGTAATTGGTGCCTTCTCACATAACCCCCCTCCCCCCAACCACTGCTGACTACAAAACGTACGCATATTAAATATATTTGGCTCATGAAAATGTTTTGAATTATTAATAAGTATAATAACATGGCATCGATGCGTACAATTTTCATACCGCGAAATTGCCATAATACCTAACGTAGCAACATTTTCGTTTCGGTTATGCTTATAAATTATAATAACGATACTATTTATTAATGTTTTTTGCAATAGTCGATCACCACCTGTCGTGGTGCATGTATCGTCAAAATCTATAGACAAATTTTCTCTCACAACACGGTACGGTAAATGAGAAGAGTAGACCTACCTATCGTGTAAGTATCATAGTATGTGTATTATTACAATACAACATTTTGACAATGTCCCCCGGGAATAACTGTGATTCGTTTCGAACCACATCATTTCATATTATATTATATTATGAGCAGAGTGAGGACTTTTAGGTTCTTAAAAGTTTAAAATGTGAGCTAAAAAGCAAATATCCTCGTTAAAAATCTCAAAATCTTCTATTAATATTCAATTAAAAACTGGTAAAATATGCTCCAAATATGAGTTCATATGCTTTTTTTGTTGTTTTTGGATTGAGTCGCTATTGTTTAGTTACATATTTAGGTAAAGTATATTATATAATATTGTTAATCTTTAGTTTTATGTGTATTATTCTTGAGCCGAACCTAATTTGAATAATAAGTTTAAAAAAAACTATTTTTACTTCAAACAGTCCGTTTAACGTTAAATTTGATTGTATTGATGCACTTTTTTCCTACTATTTTTTACCCCGAAATAGTTGCAGTTATGCATAACGATAAGATAATAACATATGACGTATCTATTGTATAATAAACCGTATGATGTTATAATAATAATACATTCAATTGTGATTTCGCGTGTTCTGCGTGTTTGTATGTCGGAAAACGCAGTAGTTGCCAAGAGGTTTTTTGTTAGTAAAAATAAAAAACAAAAACAAAATTAGTAAGCAATTATTATTTTCGGTTTTTATATTTTCTCAAATACGAGTTGTAACCGGTTTTGAGTTCTGACGTCGAATTGCTAAACTATCGTTTCGACTACCAGTAATTGTTAAACTAGAAAATCGTTGGGATAGGTATACCTATATGTATTTTTTTATAATTAGTATGTCTATCCATAACCTTCTAATGGATATCTTACTTTTTAATCGCATATTTTCGATCAGTTTTTAATGCACGCACTTACACTGAGTTACATAATGATGCCAACGGCATTTGGCGTAAAAATATCCTTCGAAAAAATCGAATCGGTGTAGAGTCGGTGTCTGTTGACTAAAATATAAATAGTCGCGGGCGCACTGTCTTCCGTCCGTGCATCGAAACGTTTAACGAAAGAGCTATTTTTTTGAGATTCTAATTTCAAGTAAACAACAATCACAAAAAAAAACCTAAGTCGTTGAACTACAAACACTTGCTGCTTGACTACTTTTTTGCGCAACACCTTTCCAAAATGAGAAAACAGAAAAACAAGTACAGTCGTAGTTCATTCTAAAACCATAAACATTTTGTTTTTTTCTGTGGAATTTTTTGAATGTGCGTTATTGTGTACACGTATTACTTATATATTATATAATATACGACGATCTTCGTGTGTACGAGTATATAATTATGGGGTTTGGGTCGAAACGAGTACCAATTGTATCATATTTTTTGCTACTCGTAACGGTGAAAAAATGGTACTGAAAATCAACAGATTTCTATACCATGATGCTATATTAGGAACTTTGTATAAAATTAATACAAAATAATTAAAGACCGTCTACCGTGGTTTGGGTTGGAAAAAATATCAATGGATGTAACAATTTCAAACTATTTAGGTCATATACTGAAATATCGAAAATATATACATATTATTTACATTCCTAAAATGGCGAAACAAGATACATTTAATGACCCGAGTTACTTATCTAGTTGGGATAGAAGTCATCTTTG